TAGAAAAATATAACAAATAGCTCAAACCATGACATGATTTTAAAAAATCGGCAGACTTTGGAGTAAGTCTTTTGGGTTTTCATGATATATTGAAAGACCCAAGAAGATTGTAGGACGTGCTTTGATCAGCACTAGGACAGAACTGTGCAGGTTGGAGGGTCGCTCATGCAATCCTCTGCTTCCTAAATTCCTCCATGTCAACCTCTGATTCATGGCTCCAGGGAATTTCGAGTTTATCCCATTTCCTGTGACTGACCTTTAAGACCTCCTGTCATTATTCCTGTCAATCTTCTCCCAACCACGTGCTGTCAACGTAATCTGTCCGGATAAACATAACTAGAAGTCCATTAATCGTACGTAAATCTTGGACCCAGTGATCAGGTTATTTTGGATCCTGACCAAGGAACATTAAGCTGCCATTGGCTTCTTGACAGTTCTACACACTTATTAAATACCACAGACCCCGTTACTACTGCTGCATGACATCGCATTGCAGCGTAGATGATGTCGGAACCTCTGCCTATCGTTCTACTTCACTTCGCCATCTCTACCCTTCTTGAAAAGGTCACCTTGTAGATCATTCGTATTTTGCCCGCTCGCTCTGTTCTGCTCACCTTATCTGAATTCCGTGATGACGTGAGAATAACATATTTGATGGAAACAGACGAGCAATCGATTGATTGATGGGATATCAAAGGAATATCAAGGTAGCTGTGCATGCAAGCGGAACAGTGGGCGGCAGGGGCATATAAAAGATCGAAAACACTCTGCCACTTGACTGGCCTTTGATTTGAAGAAGACTTCGAATGAATCGCCTGCTCGAAAGATCAAAAGGCAAGTGGTATGGAGAAATAATGCGATACCGGTAGTTGTATTGACTCGACTTGTTACGCGGTGGGGTCTCCGCCCTTCGCCAACACGAAACACTCGCTCAAGCTACAGATCGTTTTCCTTCTCTCGACGATATCAACCTTCATCGTTCACATATTCAAAGATAAGATTTACAATGCTTGAAGGCTTTACATAACAGACATAACAGGCTTGGCTCGTCACAATTTCTATACCGTGTCTATAGTTTGGCTGTCATATGTCTTACTTATCCATTGTGCCAGCAATGTTGATACTTTCAACTAGCCTTCTCCCTGCTGCCTATCCCGGTATCCTGTTCAAAATTTGAAAAAAATGCAACCAGACGGCTGCATTAGTAGGCTGAAGAGTTTTTTAATTGTTGGATTAGGTATGAGATAAGGTAAGTGATTTGTATCAACCATTCAGCTTTGGGGTCAAATAAATTCATTTCTAATCACAAACACATCTTGTCCAGGATATTTTTTTCGACATGTATTCACTCGAGGATATCATGTCAGAGACTTTTGAATAACATGATATCGATTCTACCGCCGCTCATTTTCACTCCCTGTCAGCAAGACAAGCATCTTCAGCGGAGAAGGTTTATTGGCAACTCAAATAACATTTAAGGGCAGGCTGGGTACAGGAGATGCCCTGGACCTATGCACTTTTTAAGGTCTCAAGATGATTGCTTCTTGGAAACGCATGTTTAGAAAAAACGCACAAAGACGTACTAGAGGACCCCTTGACAAATATCCGAGTTAATACCTTCTTTATGCTTTCCCCTCTATTTTTCACGCACAATAAGCGAGTGGAATCAGCTGCTTATTGTACAGGCACTGACCGATAATTGCCTTTAGAGCCGACTGGCAGCCGTCCAGCCATATTCCCAGATCTACACCTTTAACGCGCAAAAACTCACTTGTATAAATATTCTCTCACACATATAAAGGTCCCCATTGCAATTGTTCTCGATTCTCGTGACTTTTGATTTCATAATTGGAACATAATTTACCATATAAAAATATACATGATTTAAAATACAAAATAAATTTATTGTATAAAATTCGTTGTGCGATCTGTCAAATATCTAGTCGCTCAGCGGTAGCAGCCTCTAGTCATAATGAATCAAACGAGAGTCCGTAAACTTTCCTAGCGGGCTGTGACAGAACCAACCGCCGACAAGGATTTAAGACACACTTTACACTGATAATACAGCTGAACTGAGCAGGACCCATGTACGACTATCTCAAGAATGGCCCTCAGCTTGCAGTCGTACGACAATCGTACGACGTATGTGACCGGGTCTTAACGCAAGTCGTGTGGGCGGTGTCCACTGAATGATGGCACGCCGTGATATGATAATGTTTTACACTTGTAGCTTTCCGTGCGAGCCGAGGTAAGCCCTGGAATCCCCCC